GATCCCAGGCCAAAGAGACAGATCCCAGAGCCACAGAGACAGATCCCAGGCCAAAGAGATAGGTCCTAGGCCAAAGAGATAGATCCCAGGCCAAAGAGATAGGTCCCAGAGCCACAGAGACAGATCCCAGAGCCACAGAGACAGATCCCAGGCCAAAGAGACAGATCCCAGGCCAAGGACATAGATCCCAGGTCAAAAAGAAAGATCCCAGGCCAAAGAGACAGATCCCAGACCACAGAGATAAAGCCCAGGGTAAAAACATAAAGCTACTCCGTCCTACCTGCTGTATTACCCCAACAATGAGGAACAAACACGCTACACCACCATAATTACTTTTTAACGAGCACACATTATGCAAATGATCATCAAGCTCCATAAATCTTTTATAGAGGCCTTTACAGATACCAGGAGAGCAAAGTTAGACGGCTTTAAACTTTATATGTTTCATTGAGTAGATAGGTAGGTAGAAAGGTAGATAGGTTGGTCGGTAGGTAGGTAGGAAGGTAGATAGGTAGGTAGATAATCTCTTCATCTGAGAGGAGAAATCCATGTGTCCAGAACATAGACTGCAAATATTAACGGACATAGTCACGCCTATCTCCGGCGTTCTAACTAATGGGCCAAAAATTGGGCTCTCATGGAGTGATTCAAAATGGCCGCGGGGGCTGTAAAATGTGAGAAAACGCATCTGCGCATGCGTCAGCTGCACGAGCCTCATTCATTTAAATGAGAGACTTCAAAATTTCACAGCGAGTAAACTAGACTGGTCCAGAACACTCCCCTCAGCACTGACACACATGTGGAACGGAGCTTTGGGCCAAGACCCAACTTTTGGACCATCCTGTAAAGACGTTTTCGAGAGGTAAGCAGATGCTATATGTTAGCATTGGCTAATTCTTATCCCGGGTCCAACCCCATCGGCCCGGGGTGGTATTGCAGCATGTCAGCGCACGTCATTATGGCCACTTTTGACTATAAAAACTATACCTTGATTACAGGTATAAAAAAACTAGCGATTGAGATTTTTTAAAAATGATTCTATTGAATGGTAGCTGGAGGGAATTTCCTTATATGGTCGTTTGTTCTGCTGGAGTTAGCTTCAGGTCATAACAGAGGCAGAGGTGTGATGATTGTTGCTAACACAGACGATATATAATGCAGTCTTTTGCTGGGTTGCACATGACGTCACGCAGCAGCGCGAGAGTGCTCCAAGGGACAGGAAGTAAATCTCCCCATTAAGAATAATGTACAAATGCACTCATTCCGAGTTAAAATTCTCTTTTTCTGTGGCATGTACAGTTGTGGCAACTGCTCATATCAAGTGGGGAACTTATGGAGTCTCTATTTTGCAAAAATGTATTTCTTTCTTTCTTTATTGTTTATTGAAACAGGGACAGTGTACAAAACCATTAGTCTTTACAAAAGAAGAGATGATTTGTACCAGATTTAGCAAAGTAGCTATTTTCCATCTGCAGTCCCTGTATATATAAACAATCCCTACAGTTTACAATACATTCATCAATGCTGACACGATTGATGATCTAAAATATACTTTTTCAAATTTCGAGTAAAACTATTATGATCTACAGACAGTTTCAGACAGTCTGGAAGCTCATTCCACTGTTTAATGGAGCGAAATGAGAAGGCACATTGTGCAAAGGCCGAGGATCTTTTTGGGATTACACAGTTTTTATTTGCAGTGGACCGAGTGGCTCTCGTATTTTGCTCAGAACAAAGTCTGACAAAGTTCTTCAGTGGTGGTGGAGCTGTATTATTAGTGATTTTGAATATAGTTCTTAGATTATTATATAGAATTATATTGTCAAAACTGAGCAGTTTGAACTTACTCAGGATATTGCAATGATGATAACGAAGTGGTTTTTTGTCAAGTGCCTTTAAAGCCTGATTGTACACAGATCTGAGTGGTTTGAGCGTGGTCTCCTTTGCCTGCGACCAGCTAGATAAACAGTGAGTAAAGTGAGGAATTATCATGGCGTTGAAATAAGTGAAAGCCGCCTCGACTGTCAGGCTGTTCCTCATATGCTTTAGAGAGGAAATGTTATATTTAATTGTGTTGGTTACTTTTTTAACATGTTTTTTGAATGTCAGTGTTTGGTCTAAAGAGAGCCCTAAGTATTTTGTTTCCGTTACATTTTTTAGTGCCTCTCCATTTACATATATGTTAGGCATCTCTTTAGTATTATTTATTTTATGAAAATACATGCCAACTGTTTAATTAGTGTTTAATGTCAGGCATGAAGATTGGAGCCAATTTTGGATTTTGTCCAATACTGAAGACAACTTTGAGGCCACTGTCTGCATATCCCTTCCATGTGTGAAGATGACGGCATCATCTGCATACATAATTATATCCAGGTCTTTGCACACATCAGGGAGGTGATTTATATAAATGCTGAACAGCAAGGGCCCCAGGATTGACCCTTGTGGGACCCCGGTTGTGCAAGGTTTAAAGGAGGATGTTGCATTATTTGTTCTCACACACTGCACCCGGTCAGTAAGGTATGACTGGAACCACTCCAGTCCTTCACTGGATAGATTACACTGAGCAAGCCGGGACAGGAGGACACAGTGGTTTACCGTGTCGAAGGCCTTTCGTAAGTCCAAGAACACGGCACCCACCGTGCCCCCCTTGTCCATGCCGGCCCTGATGCTCTCTGTCAGGTAGCAGCAGGCAGCATCAGTGGAATGATGTCTGCGAAAACCGAATTGCATTTGATGCAAAACATTATTATCGTTTAGATGTTCCGTTAACTGCTCTATGATTACTTTTTCTAATATTTTTGATACTACAGGTAGTAAACTAATGGGCCTATAGTTACTAACCTCATTTTTGCTACCAGATTTATGAATTGGAGTTATAACTGCTGTTTTGAACACACTAGGGAACACACTTTCATTAATAGATTTGTTCACAATTTGGGCTATTGTTGTTGTTAGAGTCTCCCTATGTTTTTTGATTAGTGTGTTGTCAAGTCCCCAGTAGTCTTTAGCCTTTGAATTTGATAAAGATTGTATTATTTTACCTATTTTGGCATTATCAATACTTTTGAATTTTAGTGCAGTACTGGAGAAGAATGCAGGTGGTGAGAACAAATGAAGGAATCCAGAGGTTTGCAATGTGATTTCGTTCAGAGTCTATAAAATAATTGCTGAAGTGATCAGCAACTATACCATCCTTAATGTAAGTTTCATCTATTTTAAGCTCTATGGTCTTGCATTTTGGTTTCCCTCTTCCTGTAATTTTATCTATCGTTTGCCACAGCTTTTTAGAATTTCCCTTTGCCTGTTTAATTATATTAAGAATAAATGCCGCTCTAGCTTTTCTAAAAACCTTTGTAACTTTGTTTCGAAGTCCAGTAAATATTAATCGATCGGTTACAAGTTTTGTTTTAAACTGTTTTTTTAGAGCTGTATCTCTTTCTCTCATCAATTTCCATAAATCATCATTCATCCAAGGTAGGGGACTTCTCCCATTTTGCTTTACCTTTGTTACTTTTGTATATTTAGAGATAATTTGCTGAAACACTTCCATTAAATCAAAAGATGAGACGTTACAGTCTTTAAACTCAATACTTTCGTTCCAATTAACCTGTCTTATCTCATTATCAAATAACTCAATATTTTTTCTTGGAATGTAAGATACAGAGTCATTTGAATCTGCACTATTTAATTTTCTATAGCGTGCCTTTGACAGCTTCCTGGCAACTAGTGTTAAATTATGGTCAGATAGTCCTGTTATTAGATTGTACACCTTTGTGATACGGTCGGTTTTATTTGTGAAAATTAAGTCAATAAGTGTTTGCGATGTCTTTGTAACCCGAGTTGGTTTTTCAATAATTTGTATAAAGTTGAATTTATGGCTCATTTCTTTTAATTTTCTTCTGGCTTGCTTATCTAACCAATTAATATTAAAATCCCCCAAAAGAAGAACTTCTTTTGAGTTATTTTTAAAAAAAAATATCACTTAGGTGGTCAAAAAATTCATTATTAGTTGAAGGAGGTCTATATAACACAATGACAGCGAATGACATTTCAGGAGACAGTCGAATGTTCACTCCCACACATTCCAAGGCATCCCCTACTGTATCTATTTGAGAACACTGAAAATGGTCCTTAATATAAAGCATTAGCATAAAGCATTACTCCGCCTCCTTTGCCATATCCACGGTCACGTCTGTATATATTATATCCCGGGATATGGAGAACTGTATTTGAGATGGAAGGTTTCAACCATGTCTCTGAAAGTCCCACAAAGTCCAGATTTGATTCAGTCAGCAGCTGTTCAATTTGTTCTGACTTGGGCACAACACTTCTTATGTTTAAGTGCCCCCCAAATACACCTCTGGGCTTGACTTTCGGGTCCCACAGTACTTTAGCGTGATTTATAGTCTGAAATAGTCTGTATTGGCGTTGTTTATTATAAGCAACTGAATGACACAACGCGGATGGATGGAGTGGGTGCGCTTGGTCACATGACAATGGCCCATTTTCTTTAGCCCTTTTGGGTTTATTTACTCGAGTTTCTGCGGTCTCCAGACAAGGTAATTCAGTGTTTGATATTTCTATGGAAGTACCCGATGACACATCTTGATGTAATGGTACCTCAGAGCGGCCACGGGAAAGCTCAGCTTGTATTATATCAGGAGAAACCCCCAATATTACATTCCCCGGATCGCTCACAGTTACTGACAGATACGATGTCAATCCGTGTGCTTGTGGTGTGTGTCCACGTTAGTAACTCACTGCGCGCGGCGTGGTTGTAGCAGGTCCACACGAAGGTGAGACACCTGTAGCTCTGGTTAGCTCCCCGCCGACAGCAGGTCCTGGGTTTGCGTGGATGTCCCCGCACAACAGCAGAAAGGTGCAAATCAAAGCTGGTACAGGTGATCTTTGGCAGCGCTTTCCCCAATGGGAGTTTGCAGTTCCATGAAAAACTGCGCGCCCTTGTTTAAGCACGGATGCGTAAACAGCGTGCTTACTCCACGAGTTGACAAGAGGTGGTATGAGCGTTTGGATGCTACCTGTTGTTTGGCGGCGACAGCATGCGCTTTGCCAGTCACTCCACATTGACAGCAGCACAACCGCAAACACACAGATGGTTGTGCACACATACTTTTTAGTGCTTTGTTGCCCAGTAAACGCCATAGTTCGGCGTTTAATCATCCTCGTCTCTCTCTGGTCTCTCTCTGGTGTATAACACAGTACATGCACATACATTTATTTCCCTCCGTGAACAATCCAGCCTTGTGTTTTCTCACTCCGTAAAGTGGCTGTAAAGTCAATTTTGTAAATTTCACCAACGGGTTTTGATTTTTTGGAAAATGCCTAATAAGGAACGGAAGAAATGCATTAGCATTAGCCTGCGTAGCATCTGCGGCCGCAGACAGCCGGCAGTCCACAGTCTTTACTTAGCTGACTTTCATAGATACAATGCAGTATTTTTGTGTTGTAGTAACCGAGGGAACAGAGAGAAAGAACTGTTAAATACGAAATGACAATAAAGGGTCATATTTCTTGCCTCACATGTTGTGAAAAGTAACATCTGTGCCCTATTTATTGTATTGTTGATCAGAACTATCATCTCAGACGTGGTTCTGTTGATCCCAGAATGACAGGCTCCACTGTCGTCACTATAACAGCCTTAATCCTCCTCATTGTTGAAAAGATTTGACTCATTCAAACTCTAAAATAAGAGTGATACTAAGCCACAAAAAGCTCCTGTAGCTGCGTTTTCCTGCATCGCCCATTCTATTTAATAGGGGAAAAATACTTCCCGTCCTACGGCCCCATGCCACGCCCCCTTTTGGTCGCGTGGTTGCAACCCAGCAAGAGAGGAGAGCGATGGCCCCTTGTTTCTTTTCCGCCTCAATCCAAGTTTGTATAAATCTTTAGTCGCACCATACAGTTTTGTTCCCCCCAAATGAACTGTAAATACGAATTACTCTTGAGGATGAAAACTTTCTGCAGAGACAGATCAAATAAGAAAAGTTCCTCACACACGATCCAAGTTGCAGTTAAAACATCAACTAAAAAACGACAGCAGTTACATTATCCAACATGAAGCTAACAGCCCGGTTGCAAAAACTGCGGTACATTTAATTAATTAGAATATATTAAACCCACATATATGCACATAGTACGGGGTGACACAAAGATTCAGCCACATCTCTATATTAGAGACTGCACACTGAAACAGGTCAAAACTCTGCTGCTGTAAATCTATTTTGAGACAGCAAAAATTGATGAAGTGTTAGAGTCTGGGCAAAAAAATCCAGTTACACAGCGGCACTCAGGCCAAGTGCAATTCTCTGGTTCATTGATAAAGTCAGATAACAGAATGGTAAGAAAAATAACACAAAAAGTCTATGTTTAGATATGGATGTGTCGGTTTCACACAGCGCTTCATATTTGATTGTTCTTTCACTACGTACACCTAAAACACACAATGACCCAAAGGTCTCCCATCGCAGTACTAACCAAGCCATGTCTCGCTTAGCTTCAGAGGTATGACAAAACTTAGCATCCAGATTATTTGATTTCTGGTCCCATGTTTCTCAAAGAAAGAGTTTGAAGCTGATTTTTAAGGAAAATGTGAAAAAAACGTATTTGTGCATGTGTTAGCTGCACTAACCCCATTCAAAGTCCACAGCGGCTAAACTAGACTGGTCCAAAAAAATATACTCCCCTCAACATCGAGAGCATCTGGAACGTAGCTTTGAGCAAAGAGCCACTTTTGGAACATCCTTTAAAGAGGTTTTTGAGAGGTAAGAAGACGCCATACAAAATAATTGGATAATTCTCTTTCCGGGTACACCCCCACAGGCCTGGGTGGACATTTAGTCTTATTTCAAGAACTGTTGCTTTATTTTCTCATATAAGAGAGACATTTCTGTGTCTTTTAAAACAAGATAACTTTGAAATGTCCCGTTGGAGAATCTTGTTTGAACACTCAGTCAGAATTTGGTCAAATTAAGACACATTTTGCCAAATATGAGCAATTTTTGACTTATTTTTCATCTTTTTGGCAGCGTACACATAAACTAAATGATGGCTGTACAATACAAACAATAATCAAACAACTAAACCGATTTTGTGACATGAGAAACCTATAGTTGTTTAGTTTCAGCCTGGGTCTTCTGTACAAGCGGTCAGGCTACGATGGAAGCTGGATGCGGTTGTCACGGTTACGCAGTGATCATCACGAGCCACCGGCTGCATGTAGATCTGAAGATTAAGAGGACAGAGGCAGCAAAACACGGCCTTTGATTAACTGCAGCCAGCGCAGATTAGCCTCTCCGCCATAATACAGACCCTTTGGAGACTTCTGCATAAAAGAGAGAAACCGAAAAATTCAGAGTTCATTTGAGAAGAAGTCGCAACGCTCGTCTCTGAAAGTTGTGGGCACATGAATTATTCTCCCCGGTTCTCAAAGTCAAAGGGAAGAGAAAAGTATACAACAGCAGCAAAGGCAGGGGGTGAGAGAGAAAGAGAGAGGAGATAGAGGAGGGAGAGGGAGAGAGAGGAAGGGAAGGAGAGAGAGGGAGAGAGAGGAAGGGAAGGAGAGAGAGGAGATAGAGGAGGGAGAGGGAGAGAGAGGAAGGGAAGGAGAGAGAGGGAGAGAGAGGAGGGAGAGAGAGGGAGAGAAAGGAGAGCGAGAGGAAGGGAAGGAGAGAGGGAGAGAGAGGTAAGGAGAGAGAGAGAAAGGTAAGGAGAGAGAGATAGAGGGAGAGAGAAGAAGCGAGAGTGAGAGAAAGAGAGAGAGCCTCAGTCCTGTATCTCTCTGCTCCTCATGGACCAATGTCTTTGTGTGTTTTCTATCATAGTGTTTCCTGTGTGTGAACTTTCTGATTTTCTGATCTGTTTTTGGATAATCGACAGTTTTCAGCCCTCAGAGAAATCTCCTGTGATTTACGGCTGTACAAAAATAAATTGCATTGAAGTGAATTATTCTTTATATTGTCGCTCATGTTGTGTCCAATAGATCGACACGTCCACATTGTCTCTGACCTTTTCTGAATAAAAGTTTTATTTTAAAAAACCAATGAATGAGACGTCCGTAATACTAATGTTGCAGGTTTTCACTCCGAGAGAACGACGTGTCTCTCATCAGGGCAGCTAAACTCCAGCAGGTGGATTCCATCAGTAATCAGGGCTGCTAAACTCCAGCAGGTGGATTCCATCAGTAATCAGGGCAGCTAAACTCCAGCAGGTGGATTCCATCAGTAATCAGGGCTGCTAAACTCCAGCAGGTGGATTCCATCAGTAATCAGGGCTGCTAAACTCCAGCAGGTGGATTCCATCAGTAATCAGGGCAGCTAAACTCCAGCAGGTGGATTCCATCAGTAATCAGGGCTGCTAAACTCCAGCAGGTGGATTCCATCAGTAATCAGGGCAGCTAAACTCCAGCAGGTGGATTCCATCAGTAATCAGGGCAGCTAAACTCCAGCAGGTGGATTCCATCAGTAATCAGGGCTGCTAAACTCCAGCAGGTGGATTCCATCAGTAATCAGGGCAGCTAAACTCCAGCAGGTGGATTCCATCAGTAATCAGGGCTGCTAAACTCCAGCAGGTGGATTCCATCAGTAATCAGGGCAGCTTAACTCCAGCAGGTGGATTCCATCAGTAATCAGGGCAGCTAAACTCCAGCAGGTGGATTCCATCAGTAATCAGGGCTGCTAAACTCCAGCAGGTGGATTCCATCAGTAATCAGGGCGGCTAAACTCCAGCAGGTGGATTCCATCAGTAATCAGGGCAGCTAAACTCCAGCAGGTGGATTCCATCAGTAATCAGGGCGGCTAAACTCCAGCAGGTGGATTCCATCAGTAATCAGGGCTGCTAAACTCCAGCAGGTGGATTCCATCAGTAATCAGGGCTGCTAAACTCCAGCAGGTGGATTCCATCAGTAATCAGGGCAGCTAAACTCCAGCAGGTGGATTCCATCAGTAATCAGGGCTGCTAAACTCCAGCAGGTGGATTCCATCAGTAATCAGGGCGGCTAAACTCCAGCAGGTGGATTCCATCAGTAATCAGGGCAGCTAAACTCCAGCAGGTGGATTCCATCAGTAATCAGGGCGGCTAAACTCCAGCAGGTGGATTCCATCAGTAATCAGGGCAGCTAAACTCCAGCAGGTGGATTCCATCAGTAATCAGGGCAGCTAAACTCCAGCAGGTGGATTCCATCAGTAATCAGGGCAGCTAAACTCCAGCAGGTGGATTCCATCAGTAATCAGGGCTGCTAAACTCCAGCAGGTGGATTCCATCAGTAACCAGGGCAGCTAAACTCCAGCAGGTGGATTCCATCAGTAATCAGGGCAGCTAAACTCCAGCAGGTGGATTCCATCAGTAATCAGGGCAGCTAAACTCCAGCAGGTGGATTCCATCAGTAATCAGGGCAGCTAAACTCCAGCAGGTGGATTCCATCAGTAATCAGGGCAGCTAAACTCCAGCAGGTGGATTCCATCAGTAATCAGGGCTGCTAAACTCCAGCAGGTGGATTCCATCAGTAATCAGGGCGGCTAAACTCCAGCAGGTGGATTCCATCAGTAATCATGGCGGCTAAACTCCAGCAGGTGGATTCCATCAGTAATCAGGGCGGCTAAACTCCAGCAGGTGGATTCCATCAGTAATCAGGGCGGCTAAACTCCAGCAGGTGGATTCCATCAGTAATCAGGGCGGCTAAACTCCAGCAGGTGGATTCCATCAGTAATCAGGGCAGCTAAACACCAGCAGGTGGATTCCATCAGTAATCAGGGCGGCTAAACTCCAGCAGGTGGATTCCATCAGTAATCAGGGCGGCTAAACTCCAGCAGGTGGATTCCATCAGTAATCATGGCGGCTAAACTCCAGCAGGTGGATTCCATCAGTAATCAGGGCGGCTAAACTCCAGCAGGTGGATTCCATCAGTAATCAGGGCGGCTAAACACCAGCAGGTGGATTCCATCAGTAATCAGGGCGGCTAAACTCCAGCAGGTGGATTCCATCAGTAATCAGGGCTGCTAAACTCCAGCAGGTGGATTCCATCAGTAATCAGGGCGGCTAAACTCCAGCAGGTGGATTCCATCAGTAAT